AGAACAGTCTCTCTACGTTGTCCTTGTCTTCTTCCCTTTCTTTCTCTTGTTTTTCTGCCTTGTTCTTCTCTCTTTGTTGCTACGAGGATGTCAACGTTGCTGCCCACGTTGCTGCCTTTTTCTGCCTCTTTTCTGCATCTAAAACGCAGCCCCCACACCCCCTAATCTTAATTAGGGTTAGGTTAAGAGGGGGTGTGGGCTGTGGGCTGCCCTAGCCCACATGGGCTGAATATGGGCTATCAGCCCAACAATTACTGCCGCTATCCTTTTGTTACTACTACCATCTACGGGTCATGGATTGACCTCTATTGAGTTCTCCAGTGCCCATGTTGCACAGTAGAAGGCCGAGTGCCTGCTACCTCCTCTTGGCCCTCTCGGAGGTGCATAGCGTCGCTAACTCCGACAACCCTCTCACTATTCATAATACTCTAGAAATCAAGCATGCGAACTTCAACCAAATCATAGCATATGCCTGCCAACTTGAGCTGCTAGATCGGTGCATATCTAAGCATGTCCTCCTCATCTAATGCTTTAATTATTGTTTTTGCAAGAAACAATACTTCTTCTTAACATATAGGACTTGTATCCATCAATGTTGTAACTCTAATCCCCTTCAAATTATTCAAAAATGACAACTATGTATCTTGGCAAGCACAATTCTCTAATCTCCTTTTTGGATATAATTTATTAGGCTACATCAATGACTCTTTCAATTGTCCACTAGAAAAGATCCAAATCCTAGGAGAACCCAACCCAATAATAAATCTCGATCATAAGTTATGTCTATGACAGGATGATCTTATTCTACAAGCAATTTAAGCCTTATATTTTCATAGGATATTCTCTTGACATAATGCCTTCCGATACTATGATCCTCAAACTAAAAAAGTCTTTATATTACGCTATGTTATTTTCATGTTGAGTCTATTTTTTTCTTCTAAAACCATGGGCATTCAATAATGTGAGCCACTTCAACAATCATACATTATTGGATTCATATGAGTACACCTTATGCCCCCTTAGCAACTTCTCTACATACTTCTCTTTAAATTCACTCGATCAAGTACGTGTCAACGACTTTTTACTAATTCTCATACCTCAAACACAACATAATAATACCACCATACTTGAACATCACATGATAACATGCTCCAAAGATGACATTTTCAAATAACACAAAATCCTTGATCTTCATGCTACCATAAGCACTCCACCTGAATCTATGTAACCCACAACCATCACCCAAGCCTAAAAATATCCACACTAGTGTAAAGCCATATGTGAAGAATATGATACCCTACTCCATAATACCACATAACCCCTTGTACCATTTTATTATATATAAAATATCATCGAGTGTAAGTGAACCTTTTGAATTAAGTAGAACCAAATGGATCTGTTGCCATATACAAGGCATGTTTAGTGGCTAAAGGATTTTACTAACGATCAGGTGTTGACTTCATAGAAACATTCAGTCTAGTTGTTAAACCAACAATAATCTAGCTTATCTTGAGTTTGGCTATTACTTAAAGCTAGCAAATAAGCCAATTGGTTGTTAATAATGTTGTTAGAACCCTAGCGTATTCTAAGCTTGGGGTTGATCTCTTTAAAGGATCGGCCTCCTTGGAACTCTATAGGGGTTCCTTCCTCCAAGTTGCCACTCAAAGGCTGCTAAAAAGATTCATCTGTTGCTTATCAAAAGAAGATAAATACATAGCTATTTATAGAGCTTCTAAACCCTAACTCCTAATAGGACTCCTACTCAAAACTCTTACTTCTAACTAACTCCTAATAAGACTCTTACTCTAAGAAGCAACCTCCCAACTAACCCTAACCTTAGCCGGCCTCTTTACTTCTTTAATAGGGGTCGGCTAGGTAGGTTTTACATGAATGCCCCTTTCAATAAAATTCAATTATGACTCTCCTAGCTAGAATCCTAACAAATGCTTTCTTATAGGAGATTTTAATTGAAGATGTCTTTATGTGATAACCTCTTAACTTTATCTACCCTCAATATCCAAGCTATGTTTGTAAACAACAAAAAGCTATTTATGGACTTTGCTGAGCTCTAAGAGTCTAGTATACCAAATTTGGCTCGTTTTCAGCATCAACTAGCTTCATCAACTCTAAGTCTAACACCTCGTTATTTCTACGACAATAAAAGAGAAGTACTATATATTTACTGGTGTATATGGATAATATTATCATTACAAGTAATAATCCTATCAAGATTAAGTAATTCCTTAAGCAGTTGACAGATCGATTCTTCATCAAATATCTAGAAACCTTAAGCAACTTTTTAGGAGTGGAAGCAACGTTCATATCTTCTGAACTTTTCTTATCTTAAAAAAAGTATATTCATGATCTACTATTAAAGACGAACATGTAAAATACTAAGGAAGTTGCACACCACTCTCTACTACTGAATCACTCAAATTATGTGATGGTAGCGATACTACCAATCCCATATAATATAGATAAGTAATTAGCTCCTTATAGTATTTATCTTTCACATGTCCAAATATCTCATTTGCAATCAACAAATTATCATAATTTATGCATCAGCCCTCTACTACTCATTGGTCTACAGTAAAATGAGTCTTGCAATATCTAACGAGAACTCTCAATCTTAGATTTTTTTTCTTCGTAAACACTTATCACTCTATCTCCATGCTTTAGTTGATGTTGATTGGGCAGGCAACATTAATGATAGAAAAGGTAGCTGAGCAAGATGTTCCTTGAGCTGAGCGAAGGCCCCTTCACATTCTGAGGTCTACCTGAAGTCCTTTGGGCTCTTCAGAGCTCGAAAAAAAAGAAGGCATTTGTCCCCTGATTGGGACAAGAATTGAGCAAGAGCAGCTAGTCTCCCAGTTAGGCGCTACACCTCCTTTACTGAGCGGAGGGATTGCATATTGATGATGCCTTGAATCTTCTTGGGGCTCGTGGATGATAAAACCAAGGAATCTTTATAAGATGACGTCCAAGGTACACTTGATAGGGTTAACGCGCATGCCGAACTTCTTGACCGTCATGAATGCTTCAACTAGGTCCGCTAGATGAGTTTGGGTGAACTTGCTTTTTATGATCATGTTGTTGCCATATACCTCCATGTTTCTCTTGATTTGGTGAGCAAACATCTTATTCACTATTATTTGAATTGTCGCCCCGACATTCTTTAGCCTGAATGGCATAACTGTGTAGTAAATTTCTGGTCCTCAGGGGCCATCTTGATTTGGTTGTATTCTGAGAAGGCATCCATGAACGAAAGAATCTCGTGCCCCGAGGTTGCATCGACCAACTGGTCAATCCTCGGGAGTGGATAACAATCCTTTAAGCATGCTCAGTTAAGGTCGGTGTAGTCAACGCACATCCTCCAGCTTCCACTAGGTTTTTTAACTAGGACTACATTTGATAACTAGGACTCCACTTCATCATTCATCGCCTTCCGTTGGTCGGGAGATAGCTTCCGGGGCTTCTGCTTCACCAGTCGTGCTTGGGAGTAAATGTTTAGGCAATAAATCAAATTGACTATTAATAAAGTTTTTGAGTGAAACAAAATATTTTGAGTGAAAGATTCATATTAAATGTAGGGAATATATAAACCGCATGTGTTGAGTAAAGTTTTTTGAGTGAAACAAAATATTTTGTCATGTCTGATAGCTCTATCTCTTCTCTTTATCTAATTTAACAGGATTCAACTAGATATTCAATTTATATCTTATTTCCACCAAGAGGGGTTTACATCCGACAACAAAATTTTAATAGATAGCGCATCGAACATCCTGTTGTTCATCTTTGATGGCTCACTTGAATGCATATTTCATTACACCTGGGATATGAATGCTACTGAAGTAGTCCTCCCAATCAATGTGCTTGGGATCAAAATCAAACATCTTGGCCTCTGCGTCGTCCTTCTTCACCGCCATCCTCAACCTCTCCATGTTTAGATCATCAAAGCTTCAAAACGTATTCAAGTCATTCACATAATTTATTCTTTTTAAAATGGCTTTGTTAATTAAAAATAATAATATTGTATAAATCATCTTTAAATCAAGGAAAAGTATCCTACCATCCATCGAAGTAGACGTAGGGTTTGTAAAGGTCAACAAGATACATCATGAACTTGTACTTCCGGTTGAGTTCATTGTATCCGCGAGCGAGTCGTCCACAAGATAATAGATTGACCAGGTGCATTACCTATCGAGAGCAGTCAGAATTCACAGGCGGAGGGAAGTAGGGCTATACATCAAAATGCGTGTGGCAGAATCGTGCAGATATGTGTGGACGGACTGACCTCCAATGGCAGCTTGTATCTCAGAGTCATGAAGACGCGGAAAAGGACCATGCTTTTGATGAAAGAAAGCCTCTTTGTCGGCATGACACTTCCATCTCTCCCGACGCGAGGGTTGGCAAGGAAGTAACGGAATCCACAATGCTCCAGGGTGGCGTATGTCACTGGATTTCTCACGGACGAGCCTATGTGGTAGGTGAACTCGGCCTGCTGCTTCGAGTGAGCTGCCATGGTCGCCATCATCGCATTCACCACCATGTCCCCGGGCACCTGCATCATCAGGATCATCTCAGAACGATAATACCCAAAAAAAAGTGTGGATTGCTGATGGGTATGTGGGTCGAAGCTTTGTTCCGAGGAGAGAACGAACCACGTCCATGATGATATCGAGATCTCCAAAGAAGCATGTGATCTTCCCCTTCGCGTAACCTATGAGCACGCTGTCGATCGTCCTGCACAACAACCACCACACACCGGCTGTAGCTCTAAGGTGACAGTGCAAATCTAAAACGCACCGACTCCATCGACTGTAGTCATGTTAGATAGATAGATAGATAGATACCGTGTTCCTTCGACCCAACCCGGCAGTGGATCACTCTGAACGCTTGTTATGATCGTTGGGCGTAAAATAACCATCGGCAGATCTCCTCTCGAGTGTCCAAGCAACATCTCACCCATCGCTTTGGTGAAAACGTAGGTGTTTGGCCAACCAAACAACTTAGCCCTTTGGGATGCAAGAGATTAGGAACGAAGAGAGATCAGCTCAATGGCTCAATCTATGAGAGTAGGAGGCCGAGCAAAGATAAGGGTCAAACCTGTTTATCCCCAGTTCCTTCATGGCTAGCTTCTCTGCTTCCTCGGTCGCGTCCTCTGCACGGAGGTCCCTCTTCTTCTTGTCCGCCAAGCTTAGTTCTGCTTCAATGTCCAAGTAGGAATCCT